AACTAAATTTAATATAAAATAAATCATATAAATTTTGGAAAGATGATTTTGATACCCAGTATACCCTTCTCAAAATATTTTTAAATTAAAAAATATTGTTTAAAATTTCTCCATTTTTTTCTTTCCTTTTTTTTTTTCGGAATAAAAAATTAATAACAGCGGTGAACAACTGAAAATCAATTAACGTAACGTTTTATTGCCTTCATGCTGATCTCCCGTACAATTAAGCCATTTTATAGATGCAATCTAAAAATAAATATATTGGGGGTCTGCTGATTGTTATCAGCTTTTTGGTCAATTTATAATCTTCTAAAAATAGATTATATTAACCCATTGACTAAACTGTACATTATTTTCACTAATTTTAGAATATTTAACAAAATTTAATGTAAAAAAAATAATAAAATAATTTAAGAAATAACAAATAATTATATTTAAAAATTGATTTTTCATCGAAAAAGTTTTTTTTGCTTTTTTGGATATTATCCATATTCATAAAAACAACTAAAAATATTTGAAATTAAATAATATCTTTTTGTTTTATTGAGTTTTGTATGTTTTTTTCAGAGCTGATTTTCATTTAGAGGTCCGATTAAAAAAAAAATTCCAAAAAAAAAAATGATTTTTGCTTTTTTAAAGGCTTGTGCTTTTAACTAATATAATCACTAAATTGTTAAAGTAGAAATTTTTAGAGTTTTCATAACATTAGTTAGAGGAAAAAAATTTTTTTTTTTTAAAATATATTTTTACCATGACTTTAAAAAAAAAGAAAAACATATTTATTTTAATTTCCGTCATTTTTTAATAGTTTCTGAAAGTTTCATTAAAATCATAATTATTTTTTTTTTGCAAAATTTTCCAAATTAATGTCTATCATAAAAAAAAAATGAATTTGCTCTAGTTATTTAGTACTTCCGCTGACAAATTTTTTTCAAGGTTTTTTTATCAAAATTTAACTCTTTTCTAAAAAATTTATTTTGAACATTTTTTAGAATAATTAAAAAATACTTTGTTCATTCCTCTTAATAATAACATAAACATTTTGACGATAACATTTTGTTTTCGTCGAATTTAGGGGCTTTTTCATCATGCTATGCTCTTTTTAGCGATCTCTTGGAGGTACCTAGATAGTTAAGAAAAACTGAGCCTGAAGATTGAAGTGAAAATATAGGTAATGAATAAACAAAAAATTTTCAAAATGAACTTATAATGATGCATTTTATTTTTTATTTTTTTTTTAAAAAATTTTTCTCTTTTCATTTGAAACTTGTTGTTAAAGCAACTCTAAAACACGGTTTCTTATTGATCCTAGTGAAATAAGACCATTTTAAGTAATACCTCCGCCCCACGTCGGTGTGTATTAATGTTACATTGTAATAACCTACATAATTATATATTAAAAATATTTTAAATATTTGAATATAATTAAATTGTCTTGGATTTAGACAGTTGCTATTATTTGGAATCACTGTTCTATACGCTCAGATAACATCAACACAGGGAATCTTCCTTTTCCATGGAAACCACAACACCGACTCTGGTTAATGAGTTACACGCCGGGAATGCCATTAATGTGCTAGTGAACGATCTAAGTGTATTTGCTTGATATTTTTTTTGTTTATAAAAACGAAAGCTTATATAAAAAATTTTAAAATAATTGTGACGAGATGCAATGCCTGGCTTTTTTTTTTTATATGCTTCTGCGTACAGATTCCAATCATTTCCTTTTCATTCCACGTCTATTTCAATGTCATTTACAAGTGACGACATCTACGGACCGTGGAGCAACTGTCAAAAAGTTTATCACACACAGACTATTACTAAAATTAGATACCTTGTCTCGTTAAATATGTACATAACCAAAATTTCTTCCAAGGGGAAACATTCAGTATTACAAAATATTGTCAGGCATTTTTTTTTGTAAAATAAAAACAATTTGTGTTTTAATGGTTAACAAAAGATGAAATTGCATTAGATTAATTAAATAACTGAAAAAATGATTTCGATCCTCAATGGGCGCCAATATGTGCCACATCTAACCTATGATTGAAGGGAAAGTATCTATGTAAAATATGTCCGTTGTTTTTTTTAAAACGTTTTTTTTTTTGCTAAAAATGGAAAATAAAATGATGCCATTTTTGACTGTTTTATTTCTGGGCAAGGAAAATTAAAAAGAAATTGGAAATGTTTTAAATCAATAATAACCATAATAATAATTTTAATAATTATAATAATAATAATAATAATAATAACTGGCTAGACATATTTGCAAAAAATCGCGATGCACAAACACGTTTCCTGAAAAGATGTTGCAACCTCAATCGACTAAAACACATTTTCGAAAACATTTTTTTGAATCAAATACTTTACAAAATATAGAAATCAAAAAATCTTTGCATCTTTTTGGAAAAATATTTTGAAAAACCCTCAATAAATCGAATAAAAAACACATCTTAATTTAAACATTTTTCTTTAAACAGATAAATGGTAAAAGCTCTTCAAGAAATGAATGGTCATTAAGAAACACCAAACTGTTGTTATTGAGACTTTGGGAGTTATATCAAATTCTGAAAGCAAAAAAGGTGGAACGAATTCCTGGGATCCCTAAAATATGTGAATTTCAAAGAATCCTGTTTGTTAGTACAAAAAAAAAATCTTAGGCAAAGGTTTCTCTCCATGCAATAACTGGAATCTAATCACTTTGAAAACATGGTACAGGAAATCTATTTAACAGGAGATTTTGTCCCTGAAAATGTACCGCTTTTTTTCGCTTGAAAACAAACAGAGAATTAAAAAAAAAAAATTGAAAAGATCGAGAAAGGGAGCTGAAGAAGGTATAAATCATCCCATATTTAATGTAATTTTTGTTCTAATAAGTAATTTTATTAAAGACCACATAGCTAAAATTGAAAAACTAAAATTGGAGCTGAAAAATAAAAACATTGTTGGCATCCAAAAATTAACAAAGCATCTCATAATAATAATCGATAATATTTAGATGTAAGAATCTGTTTATAGAAAAATAAATTGAACCAACATTCAAAATGGAGTTTCAAAATAATACTACAAAAACTACAACTACTACTACAACTACACCGGCTGAAACTGCAAAATTATTATTAAAAAAGAAAGCAAAGACAAATGCAACCGACCAGATACAGAAGCTATGGCAAGATAAACCGCTTCATGGCCAATACTCTGCCCGTACCAAACAAGCTGACGTAGACAAAACCCGTACCCATCAGTGGCTATGTAGTGAAGGGTTGAAAGCTGAAACTGAAGGTTTTATTCTTGCTGCACAGGACCAATGCTTGTTAACTAGGAATTATCAAGCACACATACTAAAATATATGCAGGTTCTGTGATAAATATCCAGAAACAACTAATCATCTTGTATCAGGTTGCACGATATTGGCACCCACTGAGTATATAAAACCCGGTATGACAGAGTGGGCCAATATCTGCACTGGAAAATCTGCAACTTCTACGGGAAGGAAACTGAAAGAAACTGGTATGAATACCACCCAGACCCGGTTACGGAGATAGGACATGTTACAATTCTATGGGACTACACAATACACACTGACAGAACAATCAAAGCCAACCTCCCAGATATTGTTATTAAAGACAAACAAAAACGGTGTTTCCTTATTGATATGGCAGTCCCTGCTGACTGCAATGTATCTTTGAAGATATTCAAAAAAGCTGTCAAAATACAAGGACCTTGAAATAAAAATCTCAAAATGTGGCATATGGGAACATCAACAATCCCTGTTGTAGTTGGAGCCCTAGGACTGGTTGGAAAAAGATTGCAGTAGACTAATTGAAGGGATTCCTGGAAGTCCATGCCTCAAAGAGATACAAAAAAATGTTCTGACAAGTACAGCCCACACCTTTACGAAGGGCTTTATCTATGTAATTTTTTTTTTTTTGTCATGATGCCATTTTAACCTTAGTGGAAAGTGTCATGAAATCAAAATTTAATAATAATAATAATAATAATAATGATAATAATAATAAAAAGAATGTCATAAATATTTGCATCACAGGTTACCAAAATGAATGCAGACTCAGCCGTGTTGTTATAGATAAGGAGAGTAGTAAGTGACAAATTATATGGCTGTTCCATGCGATACAAGAGTGAACTCTAAAGTAACTGAAAAGATTGAAAAATTCCAGGATGTGGCTCGGGAGTTGAAGTAGCGATGGAACATGTATGTAGAACTAATTCATGTTGCAATATGTGGGACACCGAGTTAGTATCAGATTTTTCAAGCCGTCCTTCCTCATTATGTAGAAATTTCAACTGTCTCCTCCCGATGTGAAATATAAGTTTCCTTTTTGTCTCCATTTTCTCCAAAACGTCGTAGTTACTCACAGTTTCGATCCATGGTATCAACAGGATCTTTCTGTAGAACCACATTTCTGTTGCTTCAAGTCTCTTCTTCGTCTTTGAGGACATTGTCCAACATTGGATGCCATACAGGAGGACAGATTTCACGTAACAGTTCAGTACTCTTTTCTAATGAAAATTTTTTTTGTCTCTTAATACTCTGCTTAGCTTTTGGAATGCATCTTTTGTCTTCTTAATATTTCTTCGGATCTCAGTGTCACACTTTCCGTCCTCTGTTAGAACACTTCCCAGATATTTAAATTCTTTTGTATATCTTTGATTTTAGTATCACTAATTTGAAATTTGCATTTAAGACACTGCCTAGAAAACTGTAAAAATCGTTTCGGGAGAAAGTGAATTGAAAAAAAAAGAAAAGATTGTAGACATCCAGAAAACTGTCATCATTTACTCTGCGAGAATTCTCTGAAAAGTTCTTGAGATCTGAGGATTCTTGTTGACACCATGCCTCAAACAGAGAATTCCTATTGACTACATCGGTGCACGATACATTAATAATAATTGATTCACGTTGGAACAATGGTTAAGACGCTTGTTTTGCCATGATCCAATGAGGAGCCGGAAAGACAGATTGGTCGAGGCGAATGTTATGAGAACAATTAAAGCAGCAACACAAGCAGGCACCTATCGGACGGGCTATCAGACGGACCGGCAAGACAAGCAAGTGTCTATCAGACGGGTCGGTAAGACAAGCAGGCGGCTATCAGAAGGACGGGCAAGACAAGCAGGCAGCTATCAGACGAGTTGGTAAGACAAGCAGGCGACTATCAGGCGGACCAGCAAGACAAGCAAGAGTGTATCAGACGGGTCGTTAAGATAAGCAGGCGGCTATCAGACGGGTCGGCAAGACAAGCAGGCGGCTATCAGACGGGTCGGCAAGACAAACAAGAGTGTATCAGACGGGTCTGTAAGACAAAGTCGGCGGCTATCAGACGGGTCGGCAAGACAAGCAGGCGGCTATCAGACGGACCGGCAAGACTAGCAAACTTCTATCAGACGGGTCGGTAAGACAAGCAGTCGGCTATCAGACGGGGCGGCAAAAGAAGCAAGAGTGTATCAGACGGGTCGGTAAGACAAGCAGGCGGCTATCAGACGGGTCGGTAAGACAAGCAGGCGGCTATCAGACGGGTCGGTAAGACAAGCAGGCGGCTATCAGACGGGTCGGTAAGACAAAGTCGGCGGCTATCAGACGGACCGGCAAGAGAAGCAGGCGGCTATCAAACGGGTCGGCAAGATAAGCAGGCGGCTATCAGACGAGTCGGTAAGACAAGCAGGCGGCTATCAGACGGACTATCAAGCAAGCGTCTATCAGACGGTCCGGTAAGACAAGAGCCGGCTTTCAGAAGGGCCGGCATAACAGGCAAGCGTCCATCAGACGGGTCGGTAAGACAAGCATTTCCTATCAGACGGGCTGTCAAGACAAGCAGGCAGCTATCAGACGGGTCGGAAAGACAAGCAGGCGACTATCAGGCGGACCGGCAAGACAAGCAAGAGTGTATCAGACGGCTCGTTAATATAATCAAGCGGCTATCAGACGGGCCGGCAAGACAAGCAGGCGGCTATCAGAGGGGTCGGCAAGACGAGCAGCCGGCTACCAGACGAGTCAGTAAGACAAGCAGCCGGCTTTCAGTAGGGCCGGCAAGACAGTCAAGGGTCCATCAGACGGGTCGGTAAGACAAGCAGGCTCCTATCAGACGGGCTGTCAAGACAAGCAGGCAGCTATCAGACGGCTCAGCAAGACAAGCAGGAGACTATCAGATGGGCCAGCAAGACAAGCAAGAGTGTATCAGACGGGTTGGTAAGACAAGCAGGCGGCTATCAACGGACTGACAAGAAAGCGTCTATCAGACGGGTCGGTAAAACAAGCACGCGGCTATCAGAAGCGGCGACAAAACAGGCAAGCATCTCTCAGACAGGTCGGTAAGACAAGCAGGCGGCTATCAGACGGGCCGGCAAGACAAGCAGTCGGCTATCAGCCGGCCCGGCAAGACAAGCAAGAGTGTATCAGACGGGTCAGTAAGACAAGCAGGCGGCTATCAGACGGGCTGGTAAGACAAGCAGGCGGTTATCAGACCGACCGACACGACAAGCAAGAGTGTATCAGGTTGGTCGGTAAGACAAGTAGGCGACTATCAGACGGACCGGCAAGACAAGCAAGCTATTATCAGACGGGTCGGTAAGACAAGCAGGCGGCTATCAGACGGGCCGGCAAGACAAGCAAGAGTTTATCAGACGGGTCGGTAAGACAAGCGGGCGGCTATCAGACGGGTCGGTAAGACAAAGCCGGCGGTTATCAGACGGGTCGGCAAGACAAAGCAGGCGGCTATCAGACGGGCCGGAAAGACAAGCAGGCGCCTATTAGACGGCCAGGCGTATTCATACTGTCACAGACATACCCGACCCTAGAAAGTCACGTCCAGAAATCAAGTTTCAGACCGGGCTAGTAATCTTATTTTTCTATTTCTTACGGTAACTAAAAGTAACTTCGATGCCATTATATAAGGTTTTGAAAATCTAAAGTAGCAGTGAATTGGTTACAGAAAACTACTGCTATGTATTAAGTGAATCTCGATAAAATACAAACACGAATCTGCAATGTTATTGGTCCTGACCTGGCATCTCACCTTCAGTCACTTTTCTACCGTCGTAACGTAGTTTGGTTTTCAATAAATATTTTTCATGGTAATTCTTCTGATGAACTTTCCTCTTTCGTACCTAGACTTTAGGAATTAAAGTACAGTAATTGATTGGCGGTTAGGTCTCATAATTTTACAGTTGAACTGGCTAGATTTAACCGTAAGTTCTATGCTAATAGTTTCTTCTGTCTCACTTCTCGCTTGTGGAACTCTCTTCCGGCTTCCTGTTTCCCAGCCAATTTTGACCTTCAAAAATTTATGTGCAATATCAATGCCTTCTGTATTTTTATTATTCTCTCTCCTCTTTTTCTCATATTCTTTCACACTCAGTAACGCTTTGCGTCTTAGTGGCTTCATTGCCTTGCTTGAAGTGAAATGATTTAAAAAAAAAAACAAACAAAAAAAATGTTCCTTCAGAAGACATCTTTATTATGAGTAAGATAGTTTGTTAGCTGTGCCTGAATTATCTTCGACTTCAGCGTACCGAAGGGAATGGATTACTGAAGGTTACCTTTCGACGTTCCCCGGAAGATAACGTGTATAAGGTGCGGTTTTTCTCAACTGCATAAATCAAATATAAAATACCCGAAGCTAAACTAACGAGAACGACACCCAGAACGATAATAATCAGGTTGACTGGCGCCGAGTTGAAAACGGCGGAGCCTAAACAGAGGAAGCCGAAAACATAGAGGCCTGCCACCACAAAGCCAGTGTTTGCCCAATTCTTTCTTTTCAGGTGGGCGTGTTTAGTTATGAACGTTTGTGCACAGTTTCTATAGAAACCGCTTGTCCTCCAATGGCTTCGGGTATCCCCTGATTCGATAACGCATCCAGAAGGTCGATCTTTTTTACTCAAAATGGCAAAGACATTTTTCACAGTGCTCACCGTCGTACCGCTCTCAGTTGATATAATAGACACGGCGTCTTTGTTTTTGTCGTCGTTATCTAAAGGCAAAATATACGATGAGCAATCGTCTTCAATTTGAATTTTGGTCGGATGTTTTCGATCTTCTTTGTGGTCTAGGGAGGACGGACCCTCAGTCCGGCTAACGTTAGGCGTGTCTTTCTTCCTGGACAAGGGATTTGCATTCTTCTTTCTAAAAAAAGAATAATCACCGCCATAAATATCCGGAATTGCCAGATGGTTGTCTCTCCATAAAGTGTTATAAGCTCTCCGGACAGGGGAAAAGTGTTTCCTATCTAGATAGGCTTTTTTATCCATGTCAGCAAAAATAGGGCATGGATATTTTGAGAACTCTTCCCTGTGGACTTTAGAGTCTGATGTCTCAATATTTTCCTTGGTTTCGATCTCAGGTGACGGTATACGCATGACGTCGATATCAGATGCCTTTTCATCTACGTCTGAATAAATCGTGCTTTGACTCGTCAAGGTTTCTTCAGATTCATGATTATCTACATTCGATGGTTCATCAATAATCGACAACCGCCTGACTTGTACATTTTCAGTTTTGACATCATCCCAAAAATTAACATCGACATTATCAGTTGTATCTTCAATGGCGACTTCAGAGCTCTTAGCCATGACATGAAAATTAGTTTTTAGGTAATTTTGTTTGCGTTGCAAATATCCTAACAATTTTATTTTACTTCATATTCAGCTGGTTTCTTTTTCGGATAACAAGCTTAATGTAAAGAGCCCAATTTTCTCGATAAACAATAATTAATTTTTATCTTTTAATGATTAAGAATTTAGAGGAAAAAAGAAAACAGATTTCTTGCAATTCCCAAATTTTGGAGAGTCCATAATTTAAAAAATTCCTACTTTTATAGGCAGTTTCTTCTCAAGCAGAGCTTTAAAATAATGTCTCTTCAAATCATTTTTATTTGAAAATTAATTCCAGAAATCTGCTTGTTTCTTACCTGCTTGGATAAAAACCATTCGGGAATTTAGATTTGGATTCTATTCTACATTCATTTTGACGATATTATGTCATAGATGACCATTCCACCATAATCTTCTGACGTCATATGTTGCACTTTAAGAGGGTTAAAATAAGAAGGAAATAAATTGCTTAAACGGAATCTATTAACTCAAGCGCTAAACAGCAACAAATGTAAGTTTAATAAAACAACACAAAAGAAAAGCACAATATCCATGTTGTAATAATGCAATATCTAAATTAAATTTTGAATTCTCTGTCAATTGAAAACGAAATTCCAGCCTCTACAATAACAAAATTGTTCTAGAAAGAATTGCTTGCTAACGTCATTCAGTGAGCTCGTTACGTCGCCATAACGACTAATCGATTTAACGGCTTGTATTATTTGTTAAATCAGAACGGGTTGCAAAAACAAGCATTGCCATATAACATCACTGATTTCGAGACTGTCCTGTTTGCTTGGTGGGGGGGTGGAGAACGGGGCATGAATACCACTCAAGACAAAAAGGGAAAGGATGGCTCATCACAAACATGGCGCTGTATTATTTACATTCGAACTCATGTCTTCGTCCTTATTCTTATTATAACAACGTTTCGACCGTTGCATTTGACGGATTTCTTCAAATGTATGCCGATACAGGTAATCATCAGGGAATTTCGAATTAAATGCGTTATTTAATCCTTTTTTATTTTATTTTTTTTTACTAATGTTCACTGAATACAAGGCCCAAGAGCTACTCAAGGTAGAGGGTTACTGTGTGGAATTACCTTAGCGTAGTAAAGGACAAGGATAAGGAGTATAGAGCTGAAGTAGACTTTAGAATGAGCCGGAAATCCACCCCTAAACAAATAAATAACAAGAGATAGACTTCTATTCTGGTTCAAAAGACAGGGAGGTGTGTGAATCGGATGATAGGCGAACTTATCTCCTCCTGTTGAAGGAAAATATCTGCGTTTAGGCGGAGACGTTAGAAGTGTAGAGTTGAAGTAGACTTTAGGAAGAACCGGAAATCCAATTCTAAACAGGAAACAAGGGATAAACGTTTGGTCAGGTTCAAAAAACCGAGGAGGTGTGTAAACCGGGTAATTTTAAGGGGGTCGCATCATACACGAGATATAAAATTAGCGTATGTACTGTTGGCCCTGGCGACGCCATTAACCAAACTATCTATCTATCTATCTATCTATCTATCTATCTATCTATCTATCTATCTATCTATCGCCGGCTGTTCATTATCTATCTATCTATCTATCTATCTATCTATCGCAGTCTGTTCATTATCTATCTATCTATCTATCTATCTATCTATCTATCTATCTATCTATCGCCGGTGTTCATTTTCATCTATCTATCTATCTATCTATCTATCTATCTATCTATCTATCTATCTATCGCCGGCTGTTCATTATCTATCTATCTATCTATCTATCTATCTATCTATCTATCTATCTATCTATCGCAGTCTGTTCATTATCTATCTATCTATCTATCTATCTATCTATCTATCTATCTATCTATCTATCTATCGCCGGCTGTTCATTATCTATCTATCTATCTATCGCAGACTGTTCATTATCTATCTATCTATCTATCTATCTATCTATCTATCTATCGCAGTCTGTTCATTATCTATCTATCTATATATCTACGCCGTTTTTCAAAATATATCCATTTACTGTAGTCAAAAAGTACAGCTGTCTTTAAAATAAACCTGATTTTTATAAAACTGATATTTTACTTAACTGTATCCAATAATAATGCATGTAATATTCGCATATTAGTATCGTATTATAAAATACAAACATAGCGAATATGCATCTTTTCCATTGTTTACGTTTATAAGATGTTTAGCTGTTACTCGTTCGGTTGTTTATGGCTGTAAACCCTTACGTAACGAGTATAACGTTGCTAACAATACTTTTATCATATTCTTTGATTTTTTTAATTTATTTAGCTAGAAGATGGGACAAAGAGATAGAGGAAAAGAGGTTAGTCTATTGTTGCGGGCCTGGTAGCATGCAGTGCTGGTTTGTTAAAAGGTGGCCTTGTGCCAGACACTACTTATGACTACCGAATCCACAAACAAAGTAAAAATGTTAAATGTGGTCTTAGTGAGGAAAAAAAGGTCACCAATCTGGTTGCAGAGTAAAATTAATAGTAAATGAGGCTTCTCTGGTGAATAAAGGGGTCATTCAACAAGTGCATAAAGATAATACAATGTAGATAGACAGGAGGAAACAACGAAAGTAAGTCTGGTAAAAGAACAAATATAAACTTTTATTATTTTTTTTCAAGTAAATTGTCTCGACAGTGGAGACATTCAGTAAAGTTACTGTATCTTTGTAATTAATGAAAAGGTTGTGACAAGTAGTCACTGAAGGAATATCTCTGTTCCGCGCCAAAACAGAAAACCAAGATGGCTAAGGCGGGAAAAGTTTCTTCAGGAAGAAAGTTCCAGAACAGTCAATTTATACGGAATTTATACATACACAACAAAGAAAATACTCACTGCGAGATTTGTTAGTGTGAGTGTAATGTTATATTTTTAAGGTATTGGTTCGTAAGGATTAGAAGTTTCAAAGGTGTATGAACAGATTATCAATTTTCATTGAGGAGAATTCAGAGTTGTTCGCATCAAGACGAGGATAAGTCTTGGAAAAATATATTGACGACGGTGTCGTAGAACTCTACATTTTCTAGCTGAAAACGGAGGAAAGTTCAACATGCTGTTTGCATCAAGACGAGGATGAGTCTTGGAAAAGTGTGATATCGACATGTTGAAGTTTTGGTCAGTTAAGAATAAGATATTCCGGCCCGCGTATGGGTTAGGGGCACGGAATAAATGATTTGACCTTCTAGCTTGAAAATCAGGACGCAACTAATTTGAAAAAGCTGTTCGTCGTTGACGTCAGGAAATGCGCGGGAAAAATTCAAAATCAGTCCTAGACGGTATCAGGAGTAGCCAGTAAGCTTGACGGCAACAAAAGGATGGCTTACTGCTATGTCTAGTCGAAATTGGAAGGAAGGGGTGCAAAACGCGCGCGCGTGCGCGCACACACGCAAAAAGGTGGAATTCACGATTCCACACTATTGTAATTTGGTCTCTCATAAAAGGAACTCGCATGATAAAATCATTTTTATAAGTGAAAATTTGAGGGTCGCACGATACGCGAGATTGCGCGTTACACGAGTATATCATATGGTAGTATATAGTGTTCTTTTATCATTGGATATTTCCCAACTGATATCCTTTATTTGTATATTTGACAAGTATAGAATATAAAACATTATCTGATCCATGATATTATTGGGCTATGGTCGATGTAAGAAAATGACAGTTACAATTTCAGTATTTGAATTTATTCATTTTTTTTTTATTTAAATTTTAATTGGCTCGTTTTAAAATATAGTCTATTTATATTTAACTTCATTCAAATTTAATTCATTGATTAAAAAGAAATTAGATCAATTTATTCGGACTGATAAACGTAAAAATATAAAAAATAAATAAAATGTTTTTAGCATAAATTAAAAGCAAGGGCAAATAATCGAAGCGAATTGATTCATTGAAACGTATGCAATTGTTGAAATTATGAAAAAAAATATGGGGTAATAAACAAACGCCAAGATTTTAAGGGTTCAATTATTTAAATGTGAAACACTATTAATTTTTTGCATTTTATTAAACATTGGTTGAATTATTTAAGGCCTTAATCTGGTATAATCGGCATAATCTATCTTTGTTTATGATTTACGTTTGTGTACAATTTTGATACTCACTTTTCTTATGGTATACTAGGAAGCCCTTGACTATGAAATATATTGAATACTTAACAGTAGCAATGTTAGAAACTGATTTTAGAAGTTGACTACTTCCCGGGGAACGATTTAATATAAATTTTCTTTTGCAAACACAACAGACCCCTAAACTCTTGAAGTACCCGACAGAAATAGAGCATTCGTCGATTTTATACTTTTCAGGGGCATGAATTAACGAGCATTCGGATTTTTACGTTTATCATTATTCTTGGAGAATAGCTGGTACTGAATTAAATTATGCCTTATTGATGTATGTAATTGAAGAAAAGAAAACATTTTCACAAGAACAAAGTTCGTTCCAATTAGAAAGAGCGAATTAACACGAATGCCAAAGATGGATTGAGAGTAAAAGTGAAAGCGAAAGCGATGATTGGTTATATGAATTGTATGTACTTTTTTGAAGCCATGAAAGAAAGGAAGAAAAAAAGAGACAATGAAGGAAGGAAGAAAGGAAGGAGACGAAAGAAAGAAAGAAAGAAAGAAACGAAAATGAAGAAAACAAGAAAGAAAGTGGAAAAAGATAGAAGAAAACAAAAACAAAAGAAGGAAAGAAAGAAGGAAACAGAACGAAAGAATGAAAACAAGAAAGAAAGAGAGAAAACGGAAGAAAGAAAAAAGAAAGAAAGAAAATGAAAGAAATAAGGAAAAAAGAAAACAAGAAAGAAAGAAAGAAAGAAAGAAAGAAGGAAAACGATAGAAGAAAGAAAGAAAAAAAACAAAAGAAAGAAAGAAAGAAAGAAGGAAGGAAGGAAGAAAACAAAACGAAAGAAAGAAAGGGAAAACGGAAGAAAGAAAAAGGAAGAAAGAAAAGAAAGAAAAGAAAGAAAGAAAGAAAGAAAGAAAGAAAGGAAGCTACAGAGGATGCGTCTCATTAGCAAGATTAAATTACTGTTTATGAACTTACAAACCTGACGATTCCTGTGTGACTAAATGTTATAGCATGTCTGTCTATATAGCAGTTCTGTATAGGATACAGGTTCAATTCCTGTCGTAGGACAAAACGTTTTCTTTGAAATTTCTCGGACATTCTGGTCGGTAAATGTTGTTAATACTGTTTATTATAAACACAGCATTTACTCAAATATTTGGATCTCTAAAAATAACGTGTAAACAAAAATATATTAAAACAATTATCGGGCTTAGACCATTTCATAATATATTATACTTATAAATGTGTAAAATAGATTCTGTCGAGAAAAACTGTCTGTAAATACACAGTGAACCAACTTTCCTAGCAGCTGACCTAGCAACTGATTCAATATAATCTTTCCACTTGATACCAACAGAAAACATTAACCCAAGAAGGTGCTACGTCACTCTTGTGGAGGTTAGCATCAACCATACCGTTGGAAGACAAAAAGGTTCTCCCAGAAAAGTTTCGTTTTGGATGCGTTGACAAGCCATTTCTTGCTCCAGTTTTGTTGAATTATTTTCTCTTGAGATAGCTGCCTATGGATCTCGAAATTTAGAATTTTTGAAAACTTACACATAGCTTTCCCAATTTATTGAGTGTGTCCTTTCGGCAGACAAACCTACTATGTACGTCCGTGTGTGTCTGTAAGGTTTTCATGATGCCATTTATTAAGAGTGCAGCAGTGTTTCTCTTATTGTGCAACCGTATAAAAGAAGATTTCTATTTGTGACCAACGCATGATTCTCCTTCGTTTATCAGTTCTCTTGTTGTGTGCAAATATTTAGTCCTTACCTGAGTCATGCGCTGGTTTGAACATGCGTCGGAAATTTTTTCGGAAGAGTAATTTCTAGCCATAAATGCTGTACAAACGGAAACTTGAAAACTAGACTCTTCACGCCTCAAAGGACGAGAGAAGTTTCGGCACTTAAAGGTGAAAGATCAAAGGCGAACGAAAGTTACAAAACGACCACTCGCTTTACTCGAGGGCCAATGAAGTAAATGACATTATTCAAATGTTTTAGATTGCCTTGCCGACCTACAATGCAATGGATTCTGTCAGATTCGAATGGTGATAATATTTAAAATGGAAATAACATTGATGATGAAGAAAGAGAGAAAGACAAATTAAAGGCAGATGAAGGATAAAAGAAAGAAAGAACGAAAATTAAATGAAAGTGAAAAGAAAAATAAAAGAAAGAAAGAACCAAAAATAAGTGCAAATAAAATAAAGAAAAAGAAAGTAAGAAAAACTAAATGCAGAAGAAAGAAAGAAAGAAAGAAAGAAAGAAAGAAAGAGGGAAAACGATAGAAGAAAGAAAAAACAAAAGAAGGAAAGAAAGAAGGAAGGAAGGAAACAAAACGAAAGAAAGAAAACAAGAAAGAAAGAGGGAAAACGGAAGAAAGAAAAAGAAAGAAAGAAAGAAAGAAAGAAAGAAAGAAAGAAAGAAAGAAAGAAAGAAAACAAAGAAAGAAAGAAAGGAAAACAGGAAATGAATGAAATGCAAATGAAAAATAAAAGGATTAGGGAAGGAAAAAAAAAAGAATGTAAAACAAATGAAATTCAGGCGAAAGGATACAAGTTATGAATAAAAGAAAGAAAGGAAGAAAATTAAATTTCGTTGAATGAATAGAAGAAAGAAAGAAAATAAAAACGAAATGTCTAAATAAGAAAGAAAGAAAGCAAGAAAGAAAAAAGAAAGAAAGGAAAACAAAAAAAAGCAAAACGGTAAGAATAAAAGAAAGAAAGAAAGAATAATTAAAGAAGAAAAAAATAAAAGCATAATGCTCAAATAAAAAAGAAAGAAGGAATAAAAGAAAGAAAGATATAAAGAAATAAATTCAAACGAACGAAATAGAAATGAAAAATAAAAAAGAAGAATGAAGAAGGCAAAATATAAGAAATTAAAAGAAAATAAAAGAAAAGAAGAAGAAGAAGAAAGAATTGAAAA